TTATCATCTTTGCATCTCTAGGCTTATTATATTTGACTACGATTTACCCCCTCTCTATTTTTTGATTGTTTTATCGCTTACAAAGTACATCGTTAACTTTTGAGCCAAACATAAGCCATCTAGGGGTGGACGTGTTGGGCACATGCCCATGTTGTTCAGCCAAAGGTCCAATGGTCTGATCCTATTCTCTTTTGGTTTCCATTTCTATTTGGAATTGGATTCGGTTTATTCCTATTTTGAGTGAGTTTTGACTTTAAGAGAAAGCACCACTCATGATCTATAAATAGGACAACCTTGGAGAATTATTCTATGCTCATTGATTTTAAGTCTTTGAAAGACTTAAGCACATAAGAGTGGTTTTTGAGAGAGCTTTCATCAAGAGAGAAGAGAAAAGAAAAGTATTTGTTTTGCTGCAGATTTTTATTCCGACCAGCCAACTTCAAATTACATTTTTTGATTCGTTAACCGTTGGATCGGGCTAATATTTTGACTGAATGTTCGTAACATCTTGGTCTTTCATTTGAACGGTAGAGATCGGATTTAGAGGCCCGTAGGATCTGATTTCGAACCTCGAACAGTAGCTTCATTTTTGTGGATTCTCCTCTTTCTTCAATTGATTAGTTGTTGCTCTTGTTGCTATTGTTACCCGTGTTTGGCACTTGTTGTGTAGCCAATTTGGAGAACTTTTGTAACCCTCTTATTGTTATAGTGGAGTTTTTGGATCTTTGTGATCCCGTGATTTTTACCTTCGATTTAAAGGGTCTTCCACGTTAAAATTTGGTGTTCTTTATCTTCTTTATTTTCGAGTTTGCCTCTTCCTCGACATAACGGGACGTTGGATACTTCAGTACAGTATTGAAGAACTTTCGTTCGGCACTTTGGTATTGGATTTATCAATTATGTCTATCAAATACCGTATCAAAGTAGTTCGATACGGTATGATATTTCTTGTTTGGGTTGAAACGATTTCAATTTAATACATTAACAGAGCCGTGTCTCTATTAAGGAATATCAAGATCAAATAGCAGCAGCACTAGCTGAAGACTAACCGAAACATAAGTCATTTTCGACTAGATTTTCTGAAACCAACTCTTTAAAGTTTGAATCGTTTTTGAAAAATATTTTAAATATTTTATTTTAAAAAGTTCTTATTTGTAGTAATTTTGGCATATATTGTAATCTCTAACTATTATTTTCAAATGATAATTATTATTTCTTCCTCTGGAATAGTTAAATTGTTGATCAATAGAAAAGGAAAAGCAACACACCATCAGTGGCGGAGACAGGTTTAATGCCAAGGAGGTTCAAAAAAAGGAAAAAGTTCAAAAGGTTGAGGCTGGTGGGAACAGAATCATTGACCTTACAAAGGTTTTGAACCCCCTTGACCACTAAGCTATACTTTTGGGATGTGTCAAGGGGGTTCAAAACATAATATATAGAGGTAAAAAATAAATTTTGCCTTACATATACTGTGTAATTTTTCGGCGAAGGGGGTTCAGGTGAACACCCTTCTGCCCCTTAAATCCGCCCCTGCACACCATAAAGCGAAAAGTGTACTACTTACTATAAAACTAACTAGTAGAATTTTGTTGCCCTCGTATATCCATTATCTTTTTTAATTTAGATTGAAAATGACTTATGTTTTTTCTTAATTAAGCAATAAAGGAAATTGATAGATATGTCACATCATATACCAATCAAGTTGGCCACTGTACAAGAGGTAACACACCACTAAGTGTTAGTTTGGTAGGATATAATAATAATACTGAATATTTATATTAATACTCTATATTAGTAATGTCGAGATTAATAATACTAAGATTAATTATGTTGAGATTATTTTAAATCGGCAGTTTAGTCCAGTGTATTAAAAATAACATGCATTGCATCATTTTTTAAAAATTATTTATTTACAAAAATACCCTCCGACGGTTTGGAATAGGATTTGAAAAAGGTTTTGAAATGTCAGTTCTGTCTTTATACACTTGTATTCATGAATTAAAAATTATGCTATTGCTAATGCAATGGATTGCTATATATGAGAATAGTATTGAATAAGGTGTATAACTAATATGGCTATTAGTTATAAATATGTTGAAAAATACTACCAAACAAGAGATGAATAACACCAAAGCTAATACATATTACTTTCTCTTATACATCCTATTAAACGATCCCTAAGGTAGTGATGAGATTGATAAGGATATCCACCCATCATTAACCAGAAGTCTCGTGTCTGTGTTCTGAGAATGGAGAAAATCCTGATAGGCTGTGCTTTCTTTAATGGGCTCTACGTGCCCCCCAGTTCAAATTAATCTGACCATAATACGAGTACCAAATACTGAATAAAGAAAAAAAAAGGGTAAGACAAGCACTTAAAATGGTGCAAATTAACTCCAACCCATTACACTATTTTTTACACCAAAAAAGAATATTCCTTTTATATTCTTCTTTTCATAAAATAAATCCTTTCAGATTTGCAAAACATTGTGTCATTTATTAACAACATATCATATTTTAGATCTCGACTTTTCAATTTTTTGATGGTTATATATATACAATTATAACTTGTAATAAAATTAACTTATAATATATAAAAATAAAATATACGAAAATTAATTAATAAAAATTATACACCAAAATTAAAATATAAAATTAATATTATAAAGATATTACATAAAAAGTATAAGTAATTACAAAATTTATAATATGTTAAATTAAAAGTGTTATAGAATAAAAGATAATAATAAAATATTGATGAATAGTAATGGTGTGGATGAATAGTGTTACACCAAATTTGGTGTGACACTATTCACACACCAAAATGGTGTAAGAAATGATGTTGGGTTGGAGTAGGGGTGTGCATTCGATTTATCGATTCGATTTTGACCCTTATCGATAATTACTTATGGATTATCGATTTGTACATATGCTTATCGTTATCGTTTCAATAAGGTTTCGATGTTTTCGATTTCGATTTATCGATTTTTGGGGCTTATCGATTCGGTTTTTGATTACACCAATAAGAAAATTTGCGGGATTCCACGGAAAGTATATCGCTATAAACACGCCTAACTAATATGGACCAAAAGAAGCTAAGACGAACACTGTTTATAACATAAAAATTGTGTCAACAAGCACATGCAACGAAACTAAAGTAAGGGATCAAATGTATGCCACCAACACTCCAATGGTATAAAATAAAAAATACATCATCACGGCTAATTCTATTTTCCATTAATTTGAACTTCATTCCCTTGAGCTTTAAGTATGATCATTCCTTAAATGTGGTAGATGAAATAATAGGGTTAGAGACTTAGGGTAAAGGAAAGGGTATTATAGAATAAGGGTAAAAAAAAATCAAAAAAAAATTAAAAAAATAATTAATTTTTTTTTAGTATTTCTTATCGGTTTATCGATAACCGATAAATCGAAGAGGACAAAATCGAAATCGAAATCGATAACTCGATAAGGAAAATTTCGAAATCGAAATCGAAATCGATAAATCGATAAACCGATAACAAATAATCGATTCGATTTATCGATAAACTGATTCGAATGCACACCCCTAGGTTGGAGCATCAAAACACCAAATTAGCGTTTGGCGTCAAAAATGGCGTTGGGTTGGGCCACCAAAATAAAATGAAAAATGAAAAACTTTTCAGGGCGATGTGCACAGATAGCCACTAATAGCTTATGTCTTTATTTTAAAGCCAACGTTTTAAATGTCTTTAGTCTTTAGCCACTGGTTTAATAAACTTTAACTGCTCGGACAAAAATACCCTTCTGCTCATGTCCTTAACTTCAGGACTTCAGGACTACATGTCCTTAACTTTTGAACTTGAAACTCTAAGTTCAGGACTTCAGGACTACATGTCCTTAACTTTTGAACTTGGAACTCTAAGTTCAGGACTTCAAGGTTACATGTCCTTAAGTTTTGAACTTGGAACTCAAACTTCAAGACCAAGCGTCCTTAACTTTTGAACTTGTAAGTCAAAGTTAAGGACCTATTGTCCTTAACATTTGAACTTGTAACCGTAAGTTAAGTACTGCTTGTCCTTAACTTTTGAACGTGTAACTGTAAGTTAAGGACTGTCTGTCCTTAACTTTTGAACTTTAAACTCAAAGTTAAGGACTGCATGTCCTTAAGTTTTGAACTTGAAACAATAACTTAAGGACTGCACGTCCTTAAGTTTTAAACTTGAAACTATAAGTTAAGGACTGCCTGTCCTTAACTTTTGAAACTGAAACTCAAAGTTAAGGACAGAAAGTCCTTAAGTTTTGAACTTGAAACAATAACTTAAGGACTGCACGTCCTTAAGTTTTGAACTTGAAACTATAAGTTAAGGACTGCCTGTCCTTAACTTTTGAAACTGAAACTCAAAGTTAAGGACAGAAAGTCCTTAAGTTTTGAACTTGAAACAATAACTTAAATACTGACTATCCTTAAGTATTGAACTTGAAACTATAAGTTAAGGATTGTTTGTCCTTATCTTTTGAACCTGCATGTCAAATTTAAGGAATGCATGTCCTTAACTTTTAAACTTGCATGTCAAACTTAAAGACTCATGTCCTTAACTTTTAATCTTTGAACTCAAAAGAAACAAAAACAAGGTAAGAAGAAAGAAATTACTGTACGTAATTGAGACATCTGCTCAAAAATTCAGAACTTGAAAATTTTGATGATGCAAAAGGAACTACGGTACGTATTGGTAAAAGGAATAGTGAAGCAAAATCAGAAGGATCTCATGATGAACCTGGTTATGTCCTAGTAATTGGGGTCACTAATAGACCTGATGCTATTGACCAAGCATGGAGGAGGCCGACCGTGAAATCGCCTTGGGTATTCCAGATGAAAATGCAACGCGAAAGAGAGGAAGAAAGGGTAAAATTATCTTTTTTCTATCAGTAGTGGCTATTTTTGCTGAGCATTATAATTAGTGGATAAAAATTAAAGACACCCTTAATTAGTGGCTACTACACGCCATTTTTACCCCAAATTCATGCAATTTTATTCATTACGTCAACAAACTTCAATACAAAACTTTGTCCCAAGAATTACAAAAAAGAAACAAAAAATAAACCAAAAAATAAAAAATCTAACTAGTTCCTTCGTTATTTACTTCCAATCCAAAAGACAAAATTATGACCTGAACTCTCCCACCCAGAACTGATAAACTACCAAAGATTTTGATAACCAGCCCATTCCAATCTCCCTTCCCCAATACAATACTAAAAGAGTTTCTCTCTTTTATAACAAAAGACTTCATTTCATTTCTTCACCATTTTCTTTTTTCACATTAATATTGCATACCTCATACTATCACTAACCATAAGATGATTCATTTCAGAAACTTGAGAAAAATCTCCAGAAACCCAAACTCCATCTGTTCCATTAATCCGCGGATGATTTAAGCACGAAAACAAATAAAGAGGTGCGCGTAAAATGCCACAAATGATCGAAAAACCATGCCAATTCTGCCTTGTTGATCTTCCTCCTGCAGTTTGATCAACTCTAATATTAATCATATTTTCATCTCCAACTCTTGGACTTTTTCCCATATTTTGTAAGTTTTGCCTCATTGTTACCAATATACGCCACATGATTATATAAAGAATATGAAGAGGGGTTTGTGTTTTGTTTTAGGTTTTAATGGAAAATTTTGGAGGGTTTTTGAAGAATAGAAATGTTGGCCAAGTTGATAGAATGGTTTCTTTTTTTGATGGTGGAGTTGCTAGTGCTTGTAGTTATCATATGAATTTTTATGGGTGCTTTGCTTTTTAGGACTTTCACTTTGTGAGTTTTTTTTTTTTTTTGGTTTCCCACCCGGTGTCCGGTACCCGTATTGGAGCCCGATTATATTTGGATTCGCGCCGCGTAGGGCCCCATTTGGGGGGAAGCGTTCCCTACCAAGGATTTTTCTATACCCAGGGCTCGAACTCGAAACCTCTGGTTAAGGGAAAAACAGTTCCATCCACTGCACCACATCCTTTGATGGTCTTTGTGAGTTTCTTTACTACACTATTCTTTCTTTCTTTATTTAATTTTGAGTGGGGTATTGTTGATTAGCCAATTTGCCGACAAAGTTGCCTAATTATACTTTGTTTTGTTAGCAAAGATCAATGCATGATTCATCGGATGTTTAATTAAATTTAATTCTTTATGGTTAGAGTTTGGTAGTGTGGGATGATAAGTACTTTTTCATCCTTAATCAGAAGTTCGGAATCAAGTTTTGAAAATATCTATCACTTTTGACTGGAAGTACTTTTCCATAAGAGCGAATTCATAGGGTCGCTTATGGGACATGTGAATCCATAGTCCCACTGCCAAATTTGGGATTTTATGCATGTATTTTTTAAAATTAATCCAATAGTATATGTTGGTACCGTGCTTCGCAAAGGCTGAATGGTACTGCATTTTGTTGAATAATAAGTTATTTATTTAAAGGAACAAGAATCAATTTTTACTTAATACATTTTTTCCTCTTTTCTTTAGTGGTGCACCCATATTTTGTGAAATACTAGATCTGCCTCTGCAGTTTACCACCAAATTAAAACTTTTCTTTGGAGGTTTAAATCTAATTCTTTTATGGTGAGAGGTTCGGTTTAAGCGTGAACTAGGAATTTATAATTGAACTATGTATAAATTGCTCACAAATAAAAATGACTGAAAGATTAAATTTTTTGTTTTGAATTATGACATTTCACTTTTTAGGTTATCGCTTTGCCACTATAAATTCCACATCAAAAAATAAAAGACAACAACAGACCCAAAATTTTTATGTCATGCTTACTCAATTGTCGATATGTTATTAGTATCGTTCAAATTAAAATATAGTGTTTGGGTAAAATCAGGGGTGTCAATGGTTCGTTCCACCGGTTATTTTATAAAATTTGTACCATATTAATTTTTAGGTTATTCTATTATGCATAACCAAAATTAGACTTTTCAAAACCAACCCAATCATGTCGATTTATCTTCGGTATCGGTAAGGTTCGGTTAATTTTTCGGTAATTTTTTAAATGTCATGTAAAAGTCACTAGTAGAAGTAGAATGCAATAACATACGTACTTTTATAGGACTTAGCAAAACTCTCTAGACATTTTTACAATTTAAAAGGTGATGAATTAAGAAAATATGAAAGATGGCTAGAGTATAGATCCATCAATTATTCTACAACAGCGTAAAAGAAACTAAGCAAATACAAAAAAAATATAAATCACACGAGTGGAAAGATATTAACTAAGTTGATATTCAAGAATAAAGTATATAGAAGATTAAACATTCAAAAACATAAATCTAAATCTTACGAAAGGAAACATATTTAATACATTGTAGTTTGCTACTCATAATCGCTACAATGCCTTTCTCGCTAGTGAATATGCTGAACATAATTTAGTTCAATAGAAGTAGCATAATAGGTTAGAAATTAGGATTTTGAGTTTAATTACTTGTTGACTTGTAATTGTTTCATAATTCCAAGGCCCAAGGTAATCTTTTCAAAGTTTTATTATTTTTAAACTTAATATATAAATGTATTTTTCACATTGTAAATTTATTCGGTACCATTCGGCATTTTTTCGATTTATTTTCATAAAATAAAAAATCTATCCTAATTATCGGTACAATTATAGATTTATATAAAAACCTACGGTTTTATTAAAAGAAACCTAAAAATCAGTACGGTACGGTTTGATGGGTTAGTCGATTTTTAAATATCCATTGACATCCCTAGGTTAAACTATAGGTGTTAATCGTGCCGGGCTTACCCGTTTTCAACCCGCTTCAACAAGGGTCAGCCCGGATCAGCCCGTTACTGTAGCTTAATGTGCGGGCTGGGACGGGTTGGTCGGAGGGCGGGTTTTGGACGAATATATTTTGGATAACAGTGCACCATACCCGCTACGCTCGTTAACCCGTTAATGGGTTGCTAACAGGCTGCAGCCCGGTTACCGTTACAATTTTATTTTTTTTATAATTATTTGGACCGTTGCCAACGGTCAAAATTTAATTAAAAAAACAAAAAAAAATTACCCTAGCCCGGCCCGCCGAACCCGTTAAGCCCGAACCCGAACGGGCCTACAATAACCCGAAAATTCTCAACCTGCTACCAACCCGTTATCCCAGCCCGCTAACCAACCCGGTCCGATAATGGATGGGCTGGTTTTTTTTTTTTTGTTCAACCTGTCCCAGCCCGCCCGATAAACACCTCTAGGTTAAACACAATGGGTGCTTAAGCACCTATTCCAATCTCACAAATTTTACCCATTGTTATATTGGAAATCTTCTATATAGCTAAGGGGAATAATATTTGTGGCAACAATTTCTGATACACCTTAACACTTTCCCATTTAAATAAAAAAATTCGATTCTAATAGTATGGTACTTTGCTGGTTAAACATAACTGTTCAGATTTTAGTCTTTTAGTTGGATAGATTATCTTTATTTTTTAATTTCAATCATTCCTTGTCCAAAAAATTATACTGGTCAGATATATAATTCAGATTCAAATTATGCTTAGCGTCAGCTGTTGGAACAATAAGTTCAAGCTGTTTTTTTTCTCCTGATGTACATAATGACCAATTGGTAATAACATTCTTTATTTACCAAAAAAAAAAAAAAACTCTTTAGCTTTCCTTATCAACGAGGACTATAAAATAGCACGGTCTAGTCAGTTTCGGATTGGTCATTCAAAAATAGCCAGCGTTTGCCAAATTATTGAAAAATAGCCACTATTTTGTTGCAACAGAGACCGGTCCAGCATAATATACTGGAGTTCGGTGCACCTGTATATGAACTTCCAGCATATTATGCTGGACCGGTATACTTTGCTGGCTCCAGTATAATATACTGGAGACTGGAGCACCGGTGCTCCAAACTCCAGTATATTATGTTGGACTGGTATATTATACTGGAACTCCAGTATATTAGACTGGAGTTCCAGCATTATGCTGAAGTATTTTTTCGGATTTTGAATAGTGTTTTCGTTCAGATTTATCTTTACATGAAAAGTGGCTAAATTTCGGTTACTTTTAAAACTATAACTATTTTTGAATGACCACTTATAACTCTGGCTATTTTTGAATTTCTCCCTATATTCAAAACTCGAATACGAGACGTTCAAATTTAGTCTTTTAGACGGATAAAGTATGTAACACTAGCTATTACTCTTCTTTTCCCCTAAAAGATGGGAAAATGACAGTAGAGCACTTGGTGACCATTAGCCAAGGCCTTTTAATTATTTAAATTTTTTATATAAAATTATTTCAATAAATTAAAGATTAGGCTCTATTATTCCACACTAAAGCTTCACTTAAAGCTAATAAATCCGCTCTTAAGGGCCAATCAACCCCTTGAGAACAAAAGGACCACAAGGAAAAGGAAAATACTTTTTGTGCCATTTTTATATTTTAATATGTCAAATTTTCTAATACTCTTTCTCAATGGCGGATACACTTATGCTGCGAGTTTAACCGAACATAATATTTTCATCATAAAATTTGAATATAT